GTTTCATTTTAGGAGCACAGACTGGATGGAACAGGGGAGGGTGGTAAGTGACATAACAGCTGAGAAAGGACTGTCATTGTGACCCCGAGATGGAGTGTGCATGGTGGGGGGCAGTCACGGTCATGAACAGAGCAGGGTCTTCAAGAAAGAGTCACAGTTGCACCTTGACCGATGCCTGCTCTGAGCCAGGAACTTCTGGCTATTTTGCAAACATTGTGTTTTTAAAGTTAAGCACACAGATGCAAGGTTAGCATAATTATTCTATTTCACTTGCAGGGAAACAGGGACACTCAGTGTTATCGATGTCTATTCTGCTTTGTAAAAGTTTTTAATTAAGTTATTTGTTAGTCTTCAACTTGTTGCAAAAGGTCTGCTCCCTCCTTTTCTTAAAAATATTTTTTTGCTGCTCTGCTTCTGATACAGCTCCTTGCTAATGCGCCTGGGAAAACAGCAGATGCCCCAAGCGCATCTCTGGGAGAGAGACAGAGACAGAGAAATCTCCCATCCGTTGGTTCACTCTCCAAATGCTCGCAATGGCCAGGGCTGGGCCAGGCACCAGGAACTCTATCCAGGTCCCCCATGTGGGTGGTGGGGGCCAAAAAGCACTTGGGTCATCTTCCACTACCTTCCCAGGTGCATTAGCAGGAAGCTGGGTGGGAAGTGGAGTAGCTGGGACTTGAACCAGGGATTCTGATAAGGGATGCGGGTGTCCCGTGTGGCAGTTTAACCTGCTGTGCCACAATGCTGGCCCTGGGTATTAAACCAGAGGTATCACTGAAGTATATCATATTGCACTTCTTGCCTTAACATTATTACCCATACAAACTCATTTTGGCAGCTATGTGAGATGCCACTGCTTTGTTTCTGTGCCACTGACCAGCTTCTCTCAGTACTGAGAGGGTGACTGTCCCGTGTCGAATGATTCCATCACTCCTTTGATTTGCACATTGGAGGCAAAGGTTTGATCCTTTAGTGTTCATAGATTTTTTTTCCTATGTGGATAGGTGATTGTATATGTACTATGTATCTCATGTGCATATACATGTATGTGTGTATTATATTTCATGTGTTTATGTGTATGAATGTGTATTACATATCTCATGTGTAAATGTGTGTGTGTGTGTGTGTGTATGTGTCTCATAGCATCCTTTGAACCAGCTTTGTCATCCTGGCAGTTCCTTCTGTCGCTCCCCCTCTTCGTGGAGGAACGACACAGGACCCTGCGCTGTTCTTTTGTCTGCTCGGCCCTCCCCGGGTTTGCTGCTGGTTCTTCCCGGGTTGGCTACCGTCCCTTCCACCTCCGTGGAAGGGCGGTTCCCCCTGGCCACTTTCCCCACTTCCGCGGGGGAGCGGCACACCGCCGGCCGGCTCTCTCGGGGGCTGCACAGGTGTTCCTTCAGATAGATGTTCCCCTTAGATGTTCCTGGTGCATGTTGTCTCTCTCCTCCTTTATAGTCCTCTTCTACCAATCCCAACTCTGCTACCCACACGCCGAGTACGCTGCTCTCCTCCAATCAGGAGTAAGTCCTACAGTTTATTGGTTGAACTGGAGGCAGCTGTGTAGAAGCTGTTTCTCCTTTCTCAGTGCCATATTGTGGGAGAGCAGATGCATAGAATAAGTCTTAATTCCAGTAACTTAGTCTAGTCCGAGTTGCTCCCCACAGATCCCCCTTTCTTTTTATTTTTTGGCGTTGATATGCGCCTGTCTTCGGTGCCCCGCGGCACACACTCTGCTCTGCCTGCTAGAGTTGCCCACAGGTGCTTACAAGCCCTATCAATCAGGCTAACCGAATCCGGGTCCTCTCTTCGCCATGTTGTGAGGAGGTTTTTAGGCGCTGATGCGTGCCTGAGTTCGGTGCCCTGCAGCGCATGCTCTGCTCTGCTAGAACTGCCTGCAGGTGCTTACAAGCCCTACCAATCAGGCAAACCAAATCCAAGCCTTCTCATTGTCATATTGTGGGGAGACTTATTGGTGTTGATTCGTGCCTATCTTCGGTGACCTGCAGCTCATACTCTGGTCGAGCTGCCTACTGGTGCTTATCGCCTTACTAATCAGGCAGACCGAATCCAAGCCTTCTCATTGCGGTATTGTGGGGAGACTTATTGATGTTAATTCGTGCCCGTCTTCGGTGACCTGCGGTGCATAAGCTGCTAGCCACCCGCAGGTGCTCACCACCTCCCTAATCAGGCAGACCGAATCCAAGCTCTCTCATTGCCATGTTGAGGGGAGGCCTTATTTTTCTCTATTTCTCTATCTCCGGGCATTCCTATCTCTCCTATTTTACTTCTATCTACCAGCATTCCTATTTCTCTCATTTTACTTCTAAACTTCTGTTTCTCTTATCCCTGCGGCTTCCCGGCGCCTGCCCCGAGGCTGCTTCTCGGCGGCTTCCCGGCTCTGAGCCGCTTCAGCTCGCGCTTCTCTCATCTGCGCGGCTTCCCGGCTTCGCGCGCGCACTCCGCGGTCTCCGCGCCCCTTCGCACCCGCACCATGGCCTCGCACTAGCCCCACGTTCCCTATCTATTCACGCCCCGTGCTCTCTCTGCACGCGGCGGCTTCCGCGAATCACACAGCCCCAGCTCACGTTTCCGCCACTGGTATTCAATCTAAGTTCCCCGGGCTAACCTGGCGAATTCAACCTATAGCTTACGTTTCCGCCTTACGGTTTGGCTTCCCGTCTTTTGCTCCCCGGGCTAATCTGACGGATTCCAACCTGGCCCACATTTCCGCCTCTGGTTTAACTTTTCGCCTTTTGCTCCCCGGGCTGACTTAAAGAATTCCAACCTGGCTTACGTTTCCGCCTCGGCCTGCCCCCGCAGCTTCAATTTCCCTAACATTTTTCTCTACCCGGTATGTTTCCCTAAGTTTTCTTCCAACAATATTCCTCCCTCATTTCTCCTGGCTTCTCCCCACAGTCCGTATCCGAGTCTGTTTGTTCTAGCTTTTACTTTCGCTTTCGACCTTAGAGATTTCTCCCAGCTTCCCCCCGTAGTCCGTATCTGAGTCTATGCCTAGGCTTTCGATAGCTTCTTCCAGCACCTTTTCCGTCCGGCTTTTCCCTAGGCTCTTTGCTAGTCTCTCTCTCCGGTATTTTCCCACTTCTTCCCGCTTCTTCCCTCCTAGGTTTCCTATCCGAGTCACGGCACCATTATGTCGTTCCCCCTCTTCGTGGAGGAGTGACACCTCCCCTGAGTGATTTATTTAATCTTTGACTTTTGCTCCCTACATATTTGTATGAGAGCTATGATGGTGAACTAACAAGAGTATGTGAGGGACACCCTGGAGGGCAAGGGATGCATGTTCAAGCTGAGTCCAATGATGCCCTGCTCCCTGGGCTGAGTGAGGACAAAGCCACTGCTCTCCTGATGTAGGCTGAAAGTTCCAAAACAAATCGTACTAAAGTAGAGCTCAGGAGAAATTTAAAAAGATCAAAACAAAATATACCGTAAGTTATGGAGCATACATTTAGAGCTTCATGAAAATCTTCCTTATAACAATTTTGGGAATGATTAAAAAACACTCCTGATTGAGGGTTATTCAGACCAACTGAACCCAACCCTCTGAAGGTGGGAATGCATACTTTTTAAGCTTTCCAGTGAGCTGAATATACATTGGGAGTAGCAGGGTCCCGTTCCTGGGAAAGCCTGGATTAGAGACCTAAGGAGAGTGGTTTCCACTCTTGGCAGAGGCCAGGATTTTCTCTCTTCTCTCCTTCGCCCATCTCCCAGCTGTATCAGGGAAGAGAAAGGCCAGAGACCATTTTCTCAGGATGTTCCCTCTCTCCCATCAGGGTCCAATGCAGACTGAAACCAGAACAACCATGAGAACCGGGAACAGGTGACATAAAGGATTATTGCCCTTTGAGAGGTGGCTAATGGGGGAGAAAGAACGGTAGGGAGTAGAGAAGCAGGAACTGCGCGAGGAAGCTGCTGCCCTTAGAGATGAGGGCGGGCCTTGGAAGCTTCCGGAACACTCACTCCTCCCCCAGGCTGAGATCCAGAGCTCTAAGGAGACAGTGGCCATTTTGAGGAGAGAGAGGCCATTTTGAGGAGACAGTGGCCATTTTGTGCATTCTTCCTGAAGCTGACCAGGACACGGGTTTAAAGGCTGAGAATCATCTCTGATTTTTTTTTCTGTTGCCAGGCTCTGAGTGGTTTAATGGGTATGATGGCTAATTTCCTATGGCAACTTGGCTAAGCCATGGTACCCATTAGTCAAACACTAGTCTGGTATTTGAAAGGTGAGATTGGCATTGAGATGTAGCCTTATCCAATCAGCTGAAGACCTTAAGAGAAAAATACTGGGGTCCCCTGAGGTAGAGGGGGTTCCACCTGCAGCATTCCACCTCATCAATTCTTCCTTGGGTCTCCAGCTAATGGTCTCCTCAGACCTTGGACTTGCCAGCCTCCACAGCCTCAACACCTCCAATGGGGTCTGGCTCTCGGGAGAACACTGCCCACATCTGCCCCTGCTGCTGTCTCTCAGCTCAGCGACCCTCTCTGTTCCACTCTTCCCCCTCTAGGAGCGCGAGGTGTTGCTGCTGGTTGCCACCTCCAATCCCCTGGAGCGCAGACAAATCAATGGGGGTTTGTAGGATCCTTACAGAGATGTCCCGGAGCGCCCAGCATTTCCCAGGAAGGAACAAACCAGAGATCTCTTTGGAAAGGGAGGAAAGGGTGAGGCAGGACTTCCCAGGAAGGAGGAAGAAATCAAAATGCAGAAAAGTGGGAGCAAGCAGTAACCTCCAGTTCCGGTCTTTCTTCTCACTCCTGGTGTCTCTTGCTTTTAGGAGGTGCTCAAAATACTCAATTTTATAACTCAGCATAATGAAGGTCATAGAGGAGGCCAACAGCTAATATCCCACTGAATGGGAAAAATCTGAAGGCTTCTTCTCTGGGATCTGGCATAAGATAAGGATTTCATGTTCACTGTTTATATTCAACACAGTAGAAGTCCTTGACAGAGTGGGTAGGCAAGAGAGAAATAACAGGCATCCAAATTGGAAAGGGTAAGTCAAACCATCACTGTTTGCAGGTGACATGATCTTATGTATAGACAACCCCAAAGACCTCACAGAAAGACTATTAGTACTAATAAAAAATGTCAGCAAAGTTGCAGAATATGTACAAAAACCAGTAGCACAGTTATACATTAATAGAGAATTATCTGAACCAAGAAATCAATCTCATTTCCAATAGCTATACAAAACAGGAATAAATATTTAACCAAAGAGGTGAAAGATCTTTACAATGAAAACTGTAAATCATTGATGAAATTAAACACAGGAAAATGGAGAGGCATCCTGTGTTCATGGATTGGAAGAATCAATATTGTTAAAATGATCTTATTACCCAAAATGATTTGCAGATTCAATGTAATCTCTATCAAAATATCAATGGCATTTTCCACAGAAGTAGAAAAAACACTTATAAAATCTTTATGAAACCAGAAGAGACTCTCGATAACATACATTCTTGACAAAAAAGAACAAAGAAGCATTCTACTACCTGACTTTAAGATACATTTAAGGGGCTGGCGCTGTGACGCAGTAGGTTAAGCCTCTGACTGTGGTGCTGGCTGATCCACTTCTAATCCAGCTCTTTGCTATGGCCTGGGAAAGCAGTGGAATATGGCCCAAGTCCCTGGGCCCCTGCACCCCTGTGGGAGACCCGGAAGAAGCTCCCGGCTCCTGGCTTTGGATCAGCACAGTTCCAATCGTTGCGGCCAACTGGGGAGTGAACCAACAGATGGATGGCCTCTCTCTCTCTGCCTTTCCTTCTCTCTGTGTGTAACTCTGACTCTCAAATAAATAAATAAATCTTTTAAAAATGATACATTTCAAAGTCACCAAAGCATGGTAGCAGCTGGTGGTGTGGTGCAGTGGGTTAAGCTGCTACCTGCAACACATCCCACATCAGAGCGCAGGTTTGAGTCCTGGCTGCTCTGCTTCCAGGCCAGCTCCTTGCTAGTGTGCCTGGGAAAGCACTGGAGGATGGCCCAAGTGCTGGTGCTCCTGTCACCCATGTGGGAGACCCAGATGGATTCCTGGCTCCTGGCTTCAGCTTGGCCCAGACTTGGCTGTTGCAGCCATTTGGAGAATGAACCAGCATATGGAAGATCTCTGTCTCTCCTTCTGTCACTCTGCATTTCAAATAAATAATAAATCTTAAAAAAAAACAGGTGGGAAATATCATTATGATACACACATTATTTAATATGTGCATTCATATACAAATTAAATTTGTGTATACAAAATACATGAAATTTGTTCAGCTTATATAAAAATAATTTAAAAAACTCAGCATGGCAGTGGAATTTAAACAGGCACATAGACCAATAGAACAGAACAGAGTCTTAGAAGCAAACTCACATATCTACTGTCAATTGATATTTGACAAAGGTGCTAAGAATACAAAATGGACAAAGGACAGCCTTTTCAATAAAAGGTACTGGGAAAACTGCATATCCACATGCAGAAGAATCAAAATAGACAGCCTCTGCCCCCACCGTGTGTCACTATGTACAAAAATCAACTCAAAATAGGTTAATGACCTATATGTAAGACATGAACTTTGAAACTTGTAGAAGAAAACACGGGAAAATGACCGAGACAGGACAGGTAATGAGCGAGCTTCTGAACCCGTTGTCTGGATCCCCTGGATCCCTTGCTCTTAGGGCTAATGAAAGAGTCTTTGTTGGTTTCCACCATGAGCCATCAGGACAGAGGTGAATCATGATATCGCCTTCCAGGAGCTTAGGGACATGGATGGACACACACACACACACACACACACACACAATCCTTGGGATCTAAAACAAGAGCATTTCAACAAAAGACAGAGACAGCAATAAACAAATCTTTGCAAGATTGCACCTCCCAATTGGCTGCACGCTCCCGGGCTTCCCGGCTCGCTTCTGCGGTCCCCAGAGACCCTGCTGGAGACTAACATGCTTGCTTTACGCCCATCCATGGACCGGCAATATGGAGATGAAGAACTCCCCCAGGGGCTGGGAGCCGGCTCCTCTCACTGCATAGCCCACGGTCGGGGTGGGGTGGGGGGGACTTGGTTTGTGGTCAGAGATTCCTAACAAGGGCTTCACAGAAGCTCCGGGATGCTTCCCCGTAAGAGCAAAGATCTCTGACTTTGGAGTTCAAGGCCCAGTGTGGCTGCTCTTTGGGCTTTATCCCGGGGTTGCAAGTGCAAAGCAGAGGCAGAAGGAGCTATCAGGGAGGCCTTGGAGGCTGCGTGGGGAGGAGCGAGGGCTGGGACTTTACCATCAACAGTTTGCCCAGCCGTGCACCACGCAGTCCCAGGGCCTTGGTCATGAGCAAGCCCTTGTGTCTCTGTTCCCTTGGGTCAAGAGCAAGGGCGTAGGGGAAGATGGTTGCCCAGGGTCCTCCTGGCTCAGGTGCTGCCTGGTTAACCTTTCACCTTCACTAGGCACGGGATTTCAGCTTTGTCTGCGTGTGGTGTGGGCAGGTGTCTCTCCAGATCACCACTGTGCACACAGTTCTCCCTTGTAGACCCCTCTCTCACCTCTCCGCCCCATACACACGCAGTGGGCTCTACTGCAAATTCAAGGGAGGCCAACAGCCTTTGCTTCCAGTTCAGATGGTCTGACCTCCCGGGGGGTCAACATAACCAGACCTGTCACAGTCTCCACATAGAACCGGACGCAGCACAGGATGGCGGTGGCCCAGCCAGGGCGAGCCCCAGGGTTACCTGGCCTGCAGCGTTCCTTCTGCCAAGACTCTGTGGCGACGTTCAGGCCCTCAAAGTCGCTTTCCTGCTTCCCTTTTCTCTGAGTGCAGTAAATGTCGCTTCAGCTAGGTGCTCCCCCTCTGCCGTCCACAATGAGTACTCACGGAATCTCAGTTAAGAAAATGATGATTTATTAAACTTCCAGTTCTAATAAATAGTCAGTCTTGTTGTAGTGGGCCCCAAGCCCTGGTAGAAATGAGAGAAACCACTAAAGCCTTGTCCTTTAACTACAAACGTGAGCGTCTCCCCTCTTGGCCCTGCCACCACCTCCTTGCAACAGTTTAAAGACCGGGAGCGGAATTTAGTTTTCTTATTATGTTGAGGCCCACAGACACCTTAGCCGAGACAAATAATAAGAAGGGCAAACACACAGAGAAGCAGGTGTCAAGAGTAGAACAGATTTTCCCCCATCAGTGGGACCACTGACAAATCTGCTATGAAGAAAGCCCATGGCAAGGAAAGCCCAGACATGTTCTCAAATGTTACCCACCCCCAATTTTTAAAAAAAAGTTGTATTTATTTGAAGGTCAGAATTATGGAGAGAGAGGGAGAGACAGAGGAAGAGACACAGAGAGAGACAGAGAAAGACAGAGAGAGAGAGAGAGAAAGAGAGAGATCTTCAATTTGCTGGTTTACTCCCAAGCCAACCACAATGGCCAGGGCAGGGCCAGGCCGAAGCCAGAGCTTTATCCAGGTCTCCCACATGGGTGCAGGGGCCCAGGCTTTATCCAGGTCTCCCACATGGGTGCAGGGGCCCAGGCTTTATCCAGGTCTCCCACATGGGTGCAGGGGCCCAGGCTTTATCCAGGTCTCCCACATGGGTGCAGGGGCCCAGGCTTTATCCAGGTCTCCCACATGGGTGCAGGGGCCCAGGCTTTATCCAGGTCTCCCACATGGGTGCAGGGGCCCAGGCTTTATCCAGGTCTCCCACGTGCATGTAGAAGCCCAAGCACTTGGGCATGCCCTGTTGCTTTCCCAGGCACATTAACAGGGAGCTGGATTGGAAGTGGAGCAGCTGGGACTCAAATCAGTGCCCATATGGGATGCCGGCCCTGTAGACGGCAGCTTTACCCACTATGCCACAGTACCAGCCTCTGCCTTCAATTTTGAGAGGGCGGGGTGAGGAGGTGAATTTGGCCATCTAGAGTTACGGGGGAAACTAGGGTCTTCAGGATTTTTCACTTCCAGCCGGAGAACACAGCAGCGGGAAATCAAGTGAATCCCATCTCCCCAGCAGCTGAGACTCCGGGAAGAAGCAATGCAATGTGTGAGGGGGCTTTTGTGACTCATTTTGAAAAGACTGACCTTAGACCTAAAGAATAAAGACCAGAGAAAGGCATCGAGGCGTCAGGTTCCTGCAGCCCTGGGAGGGGGCTGCTGGTGGGGCCAGGGTCAGATCTGCAAAGTGAGGCTAGAGCAGGCTAAGGAACGGAGGCAGGGCACGGAGCTGAGCCTGTCCTTTGGGCGCCTGTCTCTCCTCCTCCTCTCTCCCCCAGGCCTCCAGGCCCAGCAGCCTACCTCACTTCTACCTGTCCCCACTCGTCTCGGCCAACCTGTTGTTCATGATTGCCAAGGCTCCGACCCCCCCTGAGAAGTCATCCTCTTGGGACAACGTGCTGGCCTGGTGGGGACAGCCATTGGCTGCTTCGGACACCTGGTTCTGGAGGGCGGCCAATGACACCTTGTTGGCTGCCAAGAAGTCCTTCATGGAGATCATCTCTCCCGAGAGACACCGGCCATCCGTGTCGCTCTCCATCACCCCGTCGGTGTCGATGGAGATGTTGCAGCGGTTTTGGATGTTGCCCGGCATTACCACGTTCCTCCGTGACCGCAAGAGTCGTCTTTGGCACTGCCGCAAGCACTTGCTGTCCAGTTTCCGCAGGATCCAGTTCACGGACTGTTTGATCAGGATGGAGATGACATTGAACAAGGAGTAGATGCAGCAGACGCCCAAGAGGATGAAGACAAAGTTGGCAAAGCGGTAGAGGCCTAGGCTGTCATACTGGGCGTTCTGGCTGCTGACCAGGTCCCCGAAGCCAATGGTGCTGAAAGCCACAAAGCAGAAGTACAGGGAGTCGAAGTAGCTCCACCCCTCCATGGGGGTGTACATGGCCGACGCACAGCAGGAGACGAGCACAGAGGCCATGCACAGAATCAGCATGACGTAGTACACGGAGGGCTTCCAGCCAGCCATGCTGTCCACCTCATGCTTCCCCGGGGGCTTCAGGCTGTCCTGGGGCAGGGTCCCTCGCTTCCGGAGCTGCCGCTGGTGACAGGACTTCATGATGTAGGTAATGACGGCGATCAGGCGCTCCAGGAAAAGGTTGACAAATAAGATGGTGCTGGCACATCCAATGAGGCTGTAAAAGATCAGAAAGATTTTTCCTTCTACTGTCGCTGGCGTTGTCATCCCAAACCCTGCGGGGGACAAAAATCGGAGGAGAGTGAGAGAAGCCTTTACTACGACCAGGGTCTCAGTCTTGGCTTTGGCGGAAGGCAGTGGACCTAAGGAATCCATAAGATCACTCAATCCCAGCGTCTCAGGAATGAGGGAGAGTTCCCACCTCCTTCTGAGCACGCTAAAGGATGCTGGGAGTCTGGAGTTGGGCTGCTGATAGCTCGTCCGGGGCCATCGTGCAAAGCACAAAGTGGCACCTCTTCTCCGGGAAGCCTCCCGCTGCTAGGTGTTTTTGAACTCTGTGCAACTGGACAACCATACTCAACAGACCTTGTTCAGAGAGATACGCTAAGGCTCATCTACAGGGGCTGGTGCTGTGGCCCGGTGGGTTGACGCCCTGGCCTGAAGCACCGGCATTCCATATGGGCGCTGGTTCGAGACCCGGCTGCTCCACTTCCGATCCAGCTCTCTGCTATGGCCAGAAAGCAGTAGAAGATGGCCCAAGTCCTTGGGCCCCTGCCCCTGCGTGGGAGACCTGGAAGAAGCGCCTGGCTCCTGGCTTCAGATAGGTGCAGTTCCAGCCATTGCAGCCAACTGGGGAGTGAATCATCGGATAGAAGACCTCTCTCTCTCTCTCTCTCTCTGCCTCTCCTCTCTCTGTGTAACTCTGACTTTCAAATAAACAAATAAATCTTTTTTTTTAAAAAAAGACTCATCTACAGGAAAGGCTTATACGATTCATCAGAATTCTTCTACAGATGCTTGCTGACCTGGAGAGAGAACCATCACACATTTAGACCTGGTCTCTGCCCTCACGGGTTCTAGTTCGGTGGGATCATTACTAAGGGTCGTGCTGGTGGACGTACAGAGTTCTGGGGTGCTGCTAAGGATGGAAGCCTCCCAGACTCAGGCTCTTAGATTCCCTGGGGAGACGTGAACACCAGAGAGGAGCGAGGCAGGCAAGGGAAAAGGCGTGTGTGCGTGGTGACGGCGGCACGTTCCGGAGAGATGCCAACATCTGTAGAAATTTGCTTCAAAGTCTTCCTACTTCTACACAACATCCTTCAGGCACACACCTCAGGCTGGGGGAGACACTGGGCGCTACTGCTGGAGAAAACATTAAGTGTCTCGCCTTTGCTTCTCACTTCGCCATCTCCACCGTCGGCCGTCGCACCTGCGCGCAGTGGCTTACCGCTAGGCAGAAACGCTGAAGGGCAATGGGGTCACTAAGAAGAAAAGAGGAGACAGCAGTGGCGCACACAGCGCTTCCTGCTGCGGCGGCAGGGGCAGTCGGGGGCCTGCGGACTCCTTCCAACGGAGCCAGGACACAGGAACAAGACACTCTGTCAGGGGACCGACACCGAGTCACTCGGAATGCAAACACCAAGAACGTGAGCCCAGGGCACACCTCCCTGGGTTCAGTTTCTGACTCCAATCGAAACTCATTCTTTGTTTGTTTGTTTGTTTTTCTTTATTTTCATGTTCAGCTTCCTAACTCAGGTCCCACCACTGGATCACAAAGACTTAGTCACTAATCCTCTCTTTTGATTATTTCCCACTCATCCTCCATCCAGCGCCTCTCCTTGTCGTCACAGCTCAGCCAGTGGCTGCCTCCCAGTGCTCCGGGTAGGGCACAGAGCAGACCTGGAAATGTGTGGCCTTCTGAGCTTCTGACCTCCTGGGCTGCCCAGGTAGAGCCAAGGGGCCAGCTTTCCGAACTCCCAGGGGTACACACTGTGTCACCCTTTAGTTTTCCTTTCTCAGCACTCAAGGAGATGCCTCTGAGTAGGGAATTAACAGCATTTAACCAAGAAGGAGACACTTTAGCTTCAGTTGGATGGAGTGGTGTGCAATGGATGGGATCATGAGGCAGAAAGAACTAAGGGCCAGAGAAGCATTCCACTGACAGGCAGCGAGGGTCCTCAAGGCCATGCAGAGAGATTAGACCATCTTCTCTTCCCAGGAAACCCTCATTTTCAAAAGTAAAGCCCACAGCAACTCTTGGCAGCATAGGTTCAAAGCCAGGAGCTTCCTCTGGGTCTCCCACGCTGGTGCAGGAGCCCAAGCACTTGGGCCATCTTCTACTGCTTTCCCAGGCCATTAGCAGGGAGCTGGATGGGAAGTGGAGCAGGCCTCTTCCTCAGCCGGCGCTCATCCAGGAGAAGCCATGTTCAGCTCCAGCACTAAGATCGTCAAGCCCAATGGCGAGAAGCCAGATGAGTTTGAGTCGGGGATCTCCCAGGCGCTCCTGGAGCTGGAGATGAACTCGGACCTCAAGGCTCAACTAGGGGAGCTGAACATCATGGCTGCCAAGGAGACTGAAGTTGGCGGTGGCTGGAAAGCTATCATCATCTTTGTTCCCGTTCCTCAACTAAAATCCTTCCAGAAAATTCAAGTCCAGCTGGTTCGTGAACTGGAGGAAAAGTTTAGTGGGAAGCACGTTGTCTTTATTGCTCAGAGGAGAATCCTGCCTAAGCCAACTCAAAAAAAGCCGAACAAAAAAATAAGCAGAAGCACCCTAGGAGCCGCACCCTGACACCCTGACTAATCCTTGAGGATTTAGTCTTCCCAAGTGAAACTGTGGGCACGAGAATCCGTGTGAAACTGGACGGAGCTGCTTCATCAAGGTCCATCTGGACACAGCACAGCAGAATAACATGGAGCATAAGGTGGAAACTTTCTCTGGTGTGTACAAGAAGCTCACAGGCATGGATGTTAATTTTGAGTTCCCAGAGTTCCAGTTGTAAACAAAAATGTCTAAATAAAGGATGATCCACTGTAAAAAAAAAAAAATAGTGGAACAGCCAGGATTTGAACTGGCACCCAGATGGGATGCTGGTGCTGCAGGTGGCAGCTTAACCTATGGGCCACAGCACCGGCCCCTGAGCAGTGTCTTTTTCTACCCAATCCAAAAGGACACCAAGGATAAGGGACACCAAGGTGCTGGGTAATTACTTCCTGTCGACCTGAGGTCGCCGGGCTCACACCTACTGGGTCAGTACACTCCTGGAACCAGGAAAACCTGCAAGTGCTTCTACACTAAGACAGACAACAACAGCTGAGTCCTCTGCCCTACAGCTGGAGGACCAGAGTACTGCTGCTCCGTCAATGAGATTCACACAGGAACAGGGAACTTTTACCTGGGGCCACTTACTGGCCTGATAATGTTCCAGTGAATGAGAATGGGGCAGATTCAGAAACCGTAGGAGGGTGGGGTGGGGGGCACTCACAGCCATCAGAAGAGAACTTCCTCGTGGAGCTCCCCGTCCTGTCCCTGATGCGATTCGGCTATTCTACTCTGGGAAGGCAGAATGGCAGGCGTTACTGGGTATTAACTCCCAGCCACAAGGTAATGGATTGAGCACCTGTTAAAGCCAAAGCCTTGTATCACAAGTCCAGTGGCTATGCCTGGATATTTATGTCCCTCAAGTTCACGTGTACAGTTCTTCACCCTCGAGGAGGTGGCATTAGGAGGTATGGGGCGGTGCTTTGGGAGGTGATTAGGTCATAGGTGTGGGGTCCTCATGAATGGAATTAGCACCCTTACAAAAGACACCCTGAAGAGCTTTTTACACCTTCCAACCAGGTGGGGGCACAGCAAGAAGGAGCTGTCAGGGCCGGAGCTGTGGCGTAGTGGGTAAAGCCACCGCCTGCAGTGCCAGCATCCCACATGGGTACCAGTTCTAGTCCCAGCTGCTCCACTTCTAATCCAGCTCTCTGCTGTGGCCTGGGAAAGCAGAAGATGGCCCAAGTCCTTGGGCCCCTGCACCCACGTGGGAGACCTGGAAGAAGCTCCTGGCTCCTGGATTTGGATCGGCACAGCTCCAGCCATTGTGGCCATCTGGGGAGTGAACCAGTGGATGGAGATCTCTCTCTCTCTCTCTCTCTCTCTCTCTCTCTCTCTCTCTCTCTGCCTCTCTGGAACTCTGTCTCTGTCCATGGGGAAGAGGCCCTCAGCAGCCACTGAATCACTGTCCAGCCTCCAGACAGGGAGAAATAAATTCCTGTTGTTCATAAGCCACCTTGTCGATGCATTTGTTAGAGCAGCCCGTGTGGATTAAGACAGCCACGTAAGATGTTCCGAACGAGGTCCTTGACCTCAAGGGAGCCTGGCATCCGGGACTGAGACAAACAAGCTACTGTCTACAGGTCGCAGTGAGGCAGAAACGGGTTGGAGTGACCCTGGCTGCGGGGTCCCCACTGCAGCCTCATTGGGGACACGCAGGTGCGCTGCGGAAGCAGCCGGCAAGCTTGGCGAGCTGACTTTTCCAGTGAACGAGGCCTCTCGTGATTCTGTGACACGTGTCAGGAGCTGAGAATGTCTAGATCCTGACTCGGAATGAAAGCATTTAGTTCTACGACAGGAGAGAAATCCCGCCTTCAGGTGCCTACTGCGTCTACGTGGTCACTGCTGTGTCTTCCATCAGCAAAAACGACAGGGACTGGCGCCGTGGGGGCATTTGTGGGTGCCAGAGGTGCTGCTGCAGCTTTTACCACTCCCGGAGCTTCAAAGTGTGCAAGCTGACGGCGCAGAACAACAGAGAGGCGTGGCCTTGTGAGCGCCATGTTCCTGAGCACGGAGGGTGTCTTGGATGGTGAACAGCGAGCCTCAGGGCCCTTCTTGGGGGAAAGGGACGCGTGACGTTCTGTGTGGCCTTGGGACTCGGCCAGCGAGAAGGTCATCATCAGATGAGGCCCCTTGACCTTGGACCTTGAGAACTGGGAGTCAGAATAAACCTCTTTTCTTTACAAGGCTACCCAAGCTCAGGCACTTCATTATAGTAATAAAAAAACCACAACAGAACAATGAAGTGTTTGTGTGTGTGGCAGGGTGGGGGGGACTGGGAAGTGTGAGTCCCATTCGGCAGGTAAGAAAAAGAAGGCCACAGACGCTAGGTCACTTCCCTCGAGCCATAAAACCAGAGCCGGAACCACACTGTCTTCCTTTCAGGCCTGTGCTTTCCCACCTGCCAGTTCTAATCCAGTGTAGGCCATGATCAGGGTAGAAGCCACACAGAGC